GCCTGGGATTACCTTTCGCCTCCAGGATTAACCTGGAATAGAAGGATGATTTGGCTGAGGTGAGAGTGGAGCGGTAGTTCTTGATGAAGTCCAGACAGATGTGGTGGTGGACCGTTAGTCTGGATTTAAGCCAAGTGCGTTCAGCAGACTGCACTTGGCCCTTAAGCAAGTGGAGATGGCTGGTGAACCAGGGTAGGTTAGAAAGGGAAAAACTGTTCCCACTGGTGGGTGTGTCGGTGACTCGAGGTCACAGATTTAAAATAGTCTCTAAAAGAAGCCGAGGGGAGGTGAGAAGAAATGTTTTCATGCAGCGAGTTGTTTGAATCTGGAACGCATTGCCTGAAAGGGCGGTCGAGGCCGATTCGATAACTACTTTTAAAAACGCGGTGGATGGGTATTTGAGGAGGACGGGTTTGCAGGTTATGGGGAAAGGGCTGTGGAGTGGGACTGACATTACATTGCTCTATTCAAAGAGCCTCTTTTTGTGCTGTACGATTCTATGATTCTATGATGCTTTGCCTCTCATTGCTCCCCAATTCTCTCCATCACCCCCATCTCTCCCCATCTCTCCCCATCGCACCCATCTTTCCCCATCGCCCCTCATCACTCCTCATCACCCCCCATCACTTCTGGAGCCAGTTCCTCACACTGGGGTATAGCCCCACCGGCTCCACTGATCACCTCCAACACCAAGAGGCCAGTGTTTGTGTGCGAGCCCAGACTGGGTGTCGGCAGCCTGTGCTGGGGGATAATCTGCTCAGCTGATAAGAGTCTCTGGTCTTTGCGTAAATCGGAGAAAGAAGAACGGAAGCAATGAATCCATGGGCTGGAGACAGCGGAATGTAGATCCTGGAGAGAGAAGAAAGTATCTGTTCTTATCTTAACTTGTGTCTGCATCAAATCCAACAGAGACGAGTGCAGCATGTCAGGGGCCCAGGCCTCAGCATGTGGCTGCTCTGACGTCAGCAGCAACTGAGCGCTGATCGGGATCAGAGTTTGTCCCTGGCTCGGGCTGGCCTCAGCTTCCTCCACCCACTGACACCAGCACTGGCTGAACATCAGACCCCAGGCTTTAATGAGGCTCAAATTTAACTGTCAGCCAGGCTCAGTCGGTAGCTCTCCCACTGCTGAGTTAGAAAGTTCTGGTTTCAAGCCCCATGTCGGGACTTTGAGTGGACTCATATTCTAAGCTGTCATTCCAATACAGAGCTGGGGGGAGCAACAACAACAACAACACGATTACATTTGTATAGCGCCTTTCCCATCGGGAGGACGTCCCATGACTTGAAAGAGGGAGCAGAGTGGCTGAAGGCTCTCCCGGCAATGGTGGGGCGGGTGGGTCGGGGGACGTGGAGCAGCCAGAGCCGGCTGAGCGGAGGGACCGGGCAGGTTGGTAGGGGGTTAGGAGGTCGCAGAGGTAGGGTGGGGCGAGGCCATGGAGGGCTTTGTAGGTGAGGACCAGGATCTTGAACTGGATCCTCTGAAGGATAGGGAGCCGGTGGAGTCGGGTTTTTTGTCGGAGGTGCCGTCCTTCAGAAGCTGAGTTAAACTGAGGATCTGTCTGTTGTTGTTCAGGTAGATGTTAAAGCTCCTGTGGGGATATTCAAAAAGGGAAGCAGAGTGGGAGGGGTGGCCATAGGTGTGATCAGTGAGGTAGGAACAGCTTTGATGGGCTGAATGGCCTCCTCCTGTTCCTGTTTTCCTATGTTGCTGCAGTGTTGAGCAAGTGGAGGTTGACTAAGATCTTGGGAATTTGTGCTGAGGCTTCTTTTCCGAGCCGTGGCCTCCCTGTCCTCTATCTATCACAGATTTCTGTATGTGTTATGTCCCTTTGGTGACCTGAACCCACTCCCACGTTGCTAAACCAAGTCACTGGCCTTTATTTAACACTTCTGTTGATAATTTTAATTCAGCAAGATATCCTGATGATGGGAATGTATTTGTTCATACAGACAGTGAGTGAGTTGTATAAATGTGATCCTATCTCAGATTGGCCTGTGGAGATTTCACTAATTTTACTCCAGCCAGTGTGCGGGTGAGGGGAGGCTGAGGGCAGAGCTGGCACTGGGCACAGAGATGGCCAGTGAGATGACCATCCTGCCATGCCCTGGGCTCTGGGAGCCAGTGACAGCATTTGATACAGCGCATTATCACATCTTCGAGACATCTCAAAGTGCTTCACAGAATATACTGTGAAGTGAAGTGACTGTTTTCTCCCCTTTTTAATCATATAAAAAATAACAATAAGCTTTGCATTTGACACAACACCTTTCACTTTGGGACGGACATCTCAAAGCTCTCTACAAGATCCACTGTGCTGTGGAGTGACTGTGGGTTTTGTAGGTCGCTCTCCCAAAGCCGCCTGGCCACGTTGTTCTCCTGCCCCGTTTGTCTGCTAATGCACAGTCACTACACTCCACCATCAGCTGCTTGTGAAGTGCTGTAAGGCACGCTGAACGTACAGGGCGCTGTTATTAGATTATTACTGGCTTCAGACGCCCTCTGGTGTCCAGTATTAATCACACCTGAGCCTCAACATTTAGTAAGTAGGATGTGCATTGAGACAGAGAATAAGATCAGAGGGGCTGAAGGACCTTCTTCATCCGAACCGATCTTGTGATCTCCTGATCCAGTGTTGCTTTCACCGAGAGACACTTAGGTGACTGAGTCAAACACACTGCTGTTTCGAAATGCTGCCTGAGTGAAGTTACTAGATAAATGCAAGTTGTTGAGACTTGTTCCAAAACAATTAATACAGTGGGGGAGGACACATCATGGTGAGAATGTGGAACACACTGCCTCAGTGAGCTGGAGAGACACACTTGATCAGAATAGGCAGGGAGGGAGAGAGGGAGTGAGGGAACGAGGCGGTGGGCGGGGTGCGGGAGGAAAACAGGGAGAGAGGGAGTGAGGGAGCAAGGCGGTGGGCGGGGTGCGGGAGGAAGACAGGGAGAGAGGGAGTGAGGGAGCAAGGCGGTGGGCGGGGTGCGGGAGGAAAACAGGGAAATGGGTGGGCATATTAAAAGGTGTGAAGAAACGAGATCAAACGATATAACGTCAACTAAACAAATTGGTGGAACAAGGCTGTCTGTCCTGAATAATTTGTATGTTCCTTTCAGCCAAATTCACGGCCAGCCCTCCTCCTCAACCCCCATGATTAGCGATAAACCTTCAGCTATTCTTCCCCGCTCTCTGGAACTCCCTCCATCTCCCCACTCCTCACCTTTGAAATCCCTTCTTTTAAGCGCTGTCTTTTCAACTGTGCTTCCTGCGCCCCCCACCCCCCACCTCAGCTCAGGTTCCCAGTTACTGGTGTCAAGTGTTTAGAAAAAGCTTCTTATTGTGAAAGGTGTGGTATACACGTGTGCAATATCAGTGTGCCAATGTGTGTTGTACGCGTGTTGTTATTTGTAATACATTGGCTGATTTGGATACTTGTGGTTAACTTCTGCTGATATTTAGCCTCGTGCCACAGGGCTCCCTGGCACTGAGCCATGGAATGAGCTGGGCAAGGCCCTGGCACCTGGCTGTTTATTGGCGTCTCCTTTACAAGAGCCAAGGGCAGGTTTCCAAACCCTGCAAAATACAACAACAACAATTTGCATTTACATAGCACCCCTCACACAGGGTAGCATCCCAGAGCGCTTATAGTCTATAATAGTCTATTACAGCGTCAGGCAGGGCAAAACCTTGGGCAAGTTTCCTCACTTCACACGCCTAATAATAATCCCTTCAAAAAACAAAAACAACAATAAATTTTCAATCCACGACTGTTTGTGGGACGCTGCTGTGCACAATTGGCTGCCACGTTTCACCCACAAATATACAGTCAATTCACTTTACAGTCTATTCTGTGAAGCGCTTTGAGACGTCGAGAAGACGTGAAAAGTGCCATATCAAATGTAAGGATTGTTATTATTATTACAAGCTCCCTGTCCCTCCCTGGCTCTCAGAGCTGTGAGATGCTGTGCTGGGGCAGAGAATGTAAATGCTGTTGTTGGTTGCAAAGGGATGTCACAGAATTCTTGTTCTTGTCCTTAAGGCGAATTATCAGACGAAAAACTATGGCCTTTCTGGGTCTTGTTGCTCCCCTGAATGGGTTAACCGTTTGCAAACAGCAGGACCTTCCTGAAGTATTTGATTCAAATGTTTATTGAGTTTCCTATTACAATGCATACAAAAGTAATATATAAAACAATGACGTTGTTCCTGTGAAATACTGTGAAATCCGGTCACCAGCCCAGAGTGGCCTGCTTTGTTAGCAAGCTCAAATACAGAGTTAAAACACTCTGCGATGCCGTCCCGTGTGGAGGGCGCTATACAAATCCAAGTTGTTCTTATTGTTGTTACATACACTCACAAAAGCAGGTTAGTCTTGAGCCATAGAGCCGGCCCAGGCTTGTTATCTGTAGATCTGTGGGTAAGGAATCCAATCAAAAGAAATACCTCTCATGTATTGACATTACCTTCTTTGTTATTGACAGCAATTTTGCTTTGTTACAGAAATACAGCCACGTCACAAGTTACAACACAGACCTGATATTATCACAGGGGCAAGGAATCCTCCCACTCAACTCCTGATAACCCTGCAAGCCAAAACCCCAACGGGTAGGGTGGTCCTAGCTGGACAAGCAGCAGGATAGCTTGCCAGGCAGTGCTCTCAATGGCAAGCTATGCCATTTTAGGTGGTCAGACTCCAGCAGTTACCCTCAACGCAGACTCTGGAGTCCCCAAGCCATGTCTCTCCAGAGTTATGTAAGCAGGTGTGTCCTTCCAGGAAGAGAGTGCACATTCCATTCCACATACAGGAGTATGAAGGTGGGTACTCTCAGACTAGTTTGAATACGCTTAAATAATGGTTTTCTGAATAATGTTGATTTATGTGACAGATGATGAAATCATTGCCTTATCAGTAGTCAGTAACAACAACAACCAAATTACATTTTGTCAATACATTTTACAGTAAAATTATGTGAAGCCCTTTGAGACCTCAACAATGTAACAAGGCACTGTATCAAAGGCAGGTATTATTATTTTTATAAAGACTGAGATTGCAAAAGTTCAACTCTCCCAGAATTATGAACTTGGCCTTTATCAATCAGATTCCATGACGCAGTTTGTGAGAAATTATTTCCACATCAGTGAGCTGGTAACTCGATCATCACTAAAGAGACTTTGAGTTCTTTTTACACAGAGGGTTATTAGAGTTATTAGGAGAGGAAAGCTATAAAAGTGGGTATGTGGGTGCAGGCGGGTGTGAGAGGCAGGAGGTAGGGGAGTGGGAAAAAGGAAGAATTCTTATAAAGATCACGGACTGAATGGCTATGGAGGAGATGGTAATATCTGATATGTGATGTGTCAATGATCATCGGAACAAATTATTACATTGCATACCACATTACTTCTACCCTCCCCCAATGATTGTGACTATATATTTATTATTATTTTTGTTATTATTATTATCTTAGTAGCACTGGCATCTTATACTCATAACATACTGAGTGCGATATAAATGTGCATTTACACAGAACAATAGCACGGTGATCGTGCGGTAGAAAAAGAACAATAAATACATGATTGACAAGAATTACACAGCAGATTTCCAAGAAAGTAGTGGTAGGAAGCTGGGAGCATCATCACTTGTGGCTGGGAGACACTCTGTCTGTCCAGGTGGACATCAAAGATCTCATAGTACTATTTGAAAAGAGAAGGAAGTTTCTCTCCTGTCTTGTCTGCGACAATGGTCCTGCAGATCCCTGATGGTGACGATCTGTGTGACAAGGCTGAGATAGTCAGTAAGTCATTGTAGTCTGCGGCTCTCAGCCTCACACCCACTCTGCTCGCCTGGTCTGTGCCAGGTCAGGTTTGGCCACATGCTATCACAGTGGCAGCCTATTTGTATTGTGGTTCAAGGTTGGCTGTTGGTGGTTCACACATTATTCCTTGGTCAGTTCGAGGCAAGTTTCGTCGTGAAATGTTGGATGCGGGGAATTCCCCTTCTCTGACGTCTCTCCCAAAAATCACCCCCTTCGCACCTTCCTTCCCTGCCTGACTCTCCCCAAATTCTACCACAGTCAACTCTCACCTTGCTGGGATTTCACTCTGCCTCTGTGAAACTCTGCGAGATTATCCTCCGTGAAAGATGCTGTCTAAGTTCTTGAGAGGGTACAGTTATTTCCCTTCTGTTCCACATTACAACAACATTTCATTTCATTAGGGCAGGAAATACATGAAAGTGACTGATACATATCCAGCCTGTGTCCCTGCCTACTCCTGACACACTCAGCACGTGGCTCTACTGGTCCTGGTTTAACAGAACGACGGGGAGGTTTGTTCGTTGTTGTCCACTGGCTGGATCTCGTTGTCGCGCTGGACATACCTGTAATTCAGGTGAGGACGGAAGGAGTTCAGCTGGTTCTGTCTCCTCTCTGACCTGTTCCTCCGGCCTGCCCTCCTACTGCAACAATAGAAGCAGCGTTTGAAGATCAGGTAGAGCATCTCGGACATGTTAAGGACGATGCAAAGGGCAGAGCCGGCTACCATGAAGTAGCTGAAGATCCTTTTCTCGGTGGGTTTGGCGATGTAACAGTCCACCTGGTTGGGGCAGGGATAGACTGAGCACTTGACCAGAGTCGGCATGTCAAAGCGGTCATAGATCCTGTACAGGATGTACAAGAATGAGATCTCGAAGCACGTCTTGAACAGCAGGCTGAACAGGTAGGTCCACCACAGCCCGCCATGCCTTTTCCCAGTGTCTGTGTACAGTTTGGGACATTGCTGCCCATGTTTTATGGTGTTTTTCCTTTCCCGCTCTTTCCTGTAGGCCACGTGCATGACGATGAGCAGGGAGGGGGTGGAGATGCAGATGAGCTGCAAGGCCCACAGCCGGATGTGGGAGATGGGGAAGTAATGGTCATAGCAGGTGTTGGCACAGCCCGGCTGCCTGGTGTTACAGTCAAAGTCACTCTGCTCATCGCCCCACACCTGCTCCGCAGCCACCACGTATACTAGGACCCTGAAAATGAAGACCACGGACAGCCAGATGCGGCCGATCCCTGTAGAATACTTGTTGACGCCGCTCAACAGCTCCTGAAGCGTGCCCCAGTCCATGGCTCCCTTTGGCAATGGTCAACCTGCAACAGAAATAGCAGCGTACAGAATTAGTGAGAGACGGGACACGGGCTGGGATCCAGCTCAAACATCTCCCCTCTGACCTGCGAGAATCAGCTCAAACATCATCCAACAACTTTGTGCCTGTCACAAAGCCATCTGTTCTACTATTCTGTCACGCCTGATAATAAACCCTCAAGAAAAAAAATGACAATATTGGTCACTTCAATCCACGACTGTTTGTGGGACGCTGCTCTGCACATTGGCTGCCGCGTTTCGCCCACAAAATATACAGTCAATTCACTTTACAGTAAATTCTGTGAAGCGCTTTGAGACGTCTCAAAGACGTGAAAAGCATTGTAGCAGGAGCTGTATCTAACGCAAGGATTATTTGAAGGATTATTATTGTACCGAAGTGTAAGGAGTAATGAAACAGTCAGCACAAGACGTACAGAGATGCCTTCACGTCACGTAAAAGCAGATGCTGACAATCCATACCAATATCATCATATTATAAAGATATTGACTTATGAGGCTGAGTCCCTGGTCAGGAGCGAGCTCCTTTGACTTCTTTGTAACATTTGACACATTAGCCATTAGCCTAACACTAAGGATGTTAGCGTGGAAGCCTCTGACTGGGACTGTCAATCGTGCCTTTGTTTTTCCACACACTGGGGTTCCTATCCACCTCAGGGAAGTGGTGCTGAGCAGGAGATCGGGTGATTCCCACAACAGAACAAAGGGGAAAACGAACTGGGAGCAGAGAATTGGATTTAACAACTGGAAAAAGAGCTGGGTGCTGTGAGCAGGAGGACAACCTGGTGGGTTCACTGCAAGGATAATAATATTAATAATAATAATAATCCTTGCATTTGATATAGGGCCTTCTCACGTCTTCGAGATGTCTCAAAGCACTTCACAGGATGTACTGTAAAGTCAATTGACTATATGGTTTGTGGACAAAAGATGAGATCCAATGAACCGAAGGACCTTCTTGACGTTCTCCCAACGTAAAAGGCGCTATACACATGTAGTTTGCTGTTGCTGTTCATCCGAACTATTGTCTGATTAGCTCAGAAGCAGGCGATTCAGCCCATCAACCCAGCTCCTGCCCTGACCAATCCCAATTTCTGGTTCTTTCTCCTTTTACACTATTGCTCTATAGATATCCCTTCAATCCCCTTTTATTGTTGAGTGAGGTTAGGTCTGAATTAACCCCGCCATTGTCCTCCACAGTTACTGGCCCCCAACTCCCAGCTCCGGTCCAAAAACCCCTGACTGTCCAGCACCCGAGATGTCTTTCAGACATGATACAAGCTATACAAGTGTAATTTGTTGTTGTTGTTGTCATTGACTGACTTAGACAGAATACATTCCATTTAGAGAACTAGGGTTGTCCCCGGAGACGGATCTCAGTTACCCCCAAACTCTCTCGGCCCCAAATTGTCAAAGAACAATGGGTACAGAATTACTGATCAACGGAAATCTCTCACTCGTCATCATCAGGAATGTTCACAATAAAGCTCAGTATCGTACCCGCTTCACATTCATTTTCTGATTAATTTTTCTAACTCCCCTCCGCTCCCTCACCCCGCCATTCCCAGATTGTCTGCAGTACTTGTTTTTAAAGCAAGTTTATTTCTATTTAGTTTGATACTTTCTGTTAACCTCCCAGAGAACACCACAAACAAATAAGGTATAGGAGCCCTGAGAAGTGAAAACAAAGTTACAGCTCTCAGATAATCGTTACCACTCAATGATTCAATTATTTATTGATCAACTTAAAACTCCAACTCTAACCATACTGAAGGCACTGAAAATAGTCTCACCGGAGATCAGACACAGCCTCCCGGACTCACACACTCCCGTCCTTCCTCTCTGATGCTCTGGAAAACATTAATTACAAAGTGATTTGGCTCGCCTCCTGGTTCCTGATATTTGATCCTGTGGTGTGGACAGGTTTGTTCACTATTGCTCATGACAATTTCATTTTAAAGGCGTAAAGGGTGCGGTTACAGGTGGAAATGCTGGACAGGTTCAGGCAGGTAGGAGTCCTGAGATCAGCATGACTGCTTACAGTCATTTGGCATTCATAGTCAAAGGGTTTCTCTGTTTTTATGTGTTAGTGGTTCACAGCCTGTGTGATTTGTGATGGCAGCTGAATTACATCAAGGATTTCAGCCTCCGCATAGACAAGTCTCTAGATATAACCAGCCGAGTGACATTGGATAACATCTCAGAGTGCTTAATAATAATAATAATAATGCATTTGATATAGTTCCTTATTTTTGGCGTTGAGTCATCCCAAAGTGCTTCACAGAAGTGGAGGGTGGAAAGAAGGAGAGGGGAAGGGAGGGAAGAGAGAGAGAGAGAGAGAGAGGGGGGGAAGAGGGAGAGAGGGAGGGGGGTAGAGGCAGTTGGGGGAGAAAGGGAGAGAGGGCAGAGAGAGGGAGAGAGGCAGTGGAGGGAGAGGCAGAGAGGGCGAAGAGGGAGGGGGGGGAGAAAGGGAGAGGGGGAGAGACGGAGGAGAGAGGGAGAAAGGGGGAGAGAGGGAGGGGGGAGACAAGGGGGAGAGAGGGAGGTGGGGGGGAGAAGGGGAGAGACGGAGGAGAGAGCAAGGGGGGATAGAGGTGGGGAGAGAGGGAAGGGGGATTGGTGAAGGACATTTGAAGCAATATTTTCTCTGATGTACTCTCCCCAGTGAGGGGCTTGTGTGCCATTGGTGTTTAAGAATGCAAACCTTTGCCCATTTCTCCTGTGTTTTGGTGCTTGCTGGACACAGCAAGTGTCCCAGACAGGGTAAAGCTCCTCTTGATCTCAACAATCGCTCCTCACAGTGAATGAGCCAATTATCACCCACTGGGGGAGATGAGTGGACTGTATTGTGTGATATTATTATTATTATATTGCACAAGTGCAGGGAACGATCGAGTGAATTCACTGCAACAAGAGAGACAACAATATTCCCAGATATATGAAGATCCAGGAAAATAATAATAATAATAATAAATTGGTCACTTCAATCCATGGCTGTTTGTGGGACGCTGCTGTGCGTAATTTGTGAAGCGCTTTGAGACGTCGAGAAGACGTGAAAAGCGCTATATCAAATGCAAGGATTATTCTTCTTATTATTATAATAATCCCTCTCCCCCCCCCCCCACCCCCGCTTCACTCGCAGTATCAGATTGACATTTGCATTCCCTGCACCAGCCTCAGTGAGAGTCACCGTTTACCATATCTCGCGAAGACTGAATTACATCCAGTTTGTGACATTGACTTGTGGCCACTGGCTTTAACTAGGTCACGATTCATTTTTCTATTGATCCGTACCATCAATAGAGAAAAAAAGAGAGAGAGACTTGCCTCTGTCTTAAAATTAAATTTTAAGTTGTGAATATCTGCGATGAGAGAAGAAAGCATCAGAACAAGAGAGCGAGAGGACAGGGGTTACGCTTTCGGCCTGTGACCTGTTCGGATTCTGCTTTGATGCTGCTGCCGCAGTGATGCAGCGTTTGATTTGAAGTTTATTTCATATTTCATCAAAAAAGGCTTTTGTCCTGCATTTCATTAAAGTTGTTCAGGACTCGGCGCTGCAGCCCCGGTGCCCTCCTGTTGGTGGCGGTGTAGCCCAGCGTGAACGCGGTGGGGGTTCAGCAGCGCCCCCCGGCTGGTGCTCATGGAACATTACAATGTTTCGCCCACAAATATACGGTCAATTCACTTTACAGGCGATTCTGTGAAGCGCTTTGGGACGTCGAGAAGACGTGAAAAGCACTATATCAAATGCCAGGATTATTACTATTATGTTATTACAATAAAATACACAGTCACTCCGCTTTACAGTGTATCCTGTACACTGGATCCTCATGGAGTCCTGTAGCTCAGGGGTTAGAGCACTCGCTTTGCAAGTTCAATTCCAGGCAGAGGGCGAAACCTCGGGCAAGTTTCCTTACTCCACACAGAGCCTAATAATAATCCCTCCAAAACCAAAAACAATAATAAATTGGTCATTTTCAATCTACGACTGTTTGTGGGACATTGCTGTGCGCAATTGGCTGCCGCGTTCGCCCACAAATATACAGTCAATTCACTTTACAGTGTGTTCTGTGAAGCGCTTTGGGACGTCCTCCCGACGTGAAAAGTGCTATATCAAATGCAAGGATTATTATTATTATTATCCTGTGAACCACTTCGAGTCATCTCGATGATGTGCTAAGGCGTTATATCAAATGTAAGGATTATTATTAATGCAATTTAAATGTATCCACTGACCCAAGAGTGGGTGCGGAGGAGACCAATGACTTAAAGTACAGTCAAGAGCTAACTTTCTTCAGTTGGACATCAACAAGACTGAGGCTCTCCTGATAGGCTCCCATCAGCGCCTCCTCACCTCAGGCGTTGACAGCATCACCATCCATGGTTGACCACTGCACCTTGCCAATCCAGTCCGGAACCTTGGGGTCTTGTTTGACTCTCAACTATCCTTTCTACCCCACACCTGTGCCATGACCCGCTCTGCCTTCCCCACCTCCGCAACATCGCCCGGCTCCGACACTCCACAGGCCTCAAAGATGCCTTCATTACATTGAGGCTCAACTATGCAATCTCACTGCTTGTCGGCCCCCAACTCCTCCCTCCACAGGCTGCAGATCATCCAGAACTCTGCAGCCCATGTCCTCTCCTGCACTCGGCTCCCCGACTCTATCACCCTCATCCTCGCCCGACTCCACTGACTTCCCATCACAGAGGATACAGTTCTAAATCCTGGTCCTCACCTTCAAAGCCCTCCATGGTCTTGCTCCCCCTGACCTCTCTGACCTCCTAACCCCCTACCATCCTGCTCACTCCTTCCTTCAGCGGACTCTGGCCTGCTTTACATTCCCCGCCTCGCTCGCCCCACTATTGGTGGGTGGGCCTTCTGCCACCTGCCCCCACCCTCTGAAACTCCAACCTGCAGTCCCTCTGGCTCGCCGCCTTCCTTGCCTCCTTCAAGACCCACTTCAACACTTTCCTCTTCAACCGTGCTTTTGATCTTCCTGCTGCCCCCCTTGCCCTCCACGACCCCGACCCGACCCCCAGTTCGGGTCCATAACGCTGTCTGTCCAGCGCCTTGGGATATGAAACAACAACAACAACAAGATTCCATTTATAGAGCACCTTTCATGTTGGGAGGACGCCCCAAGGCGCTGTACAGTTGGGTCAGGACTCGAGCATTGGGGGGAAATGGTCAGGGTGAGGGGAGGGAAGGGAGGGAGCGAGGAGGGGGTAGAGAGTCGAGAGGGGAGCTGAAGGCACGGTCAAAGAGAAAGGTCTCGAGACCGGCCTTGAAGGAGGAAAGGGAGGAGGTGGCGAAGGCACTGGGGGATAGAGTTCCAGAGCCTCGGGGCTGAGAGGCTGAAGGCCACCGATGGTAGGGCGGTTGGGGCGGGGGATGTGGAGCAGACCGGAGCCAGAGGAACGGAGGGTACGGGCAGGTAAGTAGGGGGATAGTAGGTCGGAGAGGTAGGAGGGAGCGAGGCCGTGAATGGCCTTGTAGGTGAGGATGAGGATCTTGAATTCGATCCTCTGGGGGATGGGGAGCCAGTGGAGGCGAGCGAGGGTGAGGGGGAGGGTGGGAGTGATGTGGTCGCGGTGTCTGGTGCGGGACAGTACACGAGCTGCAGAGTTCTGAATGACCTGCAGTGTGGAGGGAGGGTCGGGAAGGCCGACGAGGAGAGAGTTCCCATAGTCCAGCCTTGAGGTGACAAAGGCGTGGACCAGAGTTTCAGCCGCGTGAGGGGTGAGGTAGTGCGACATTCCGGAGGTGATGGAAGGCGGTGCCAGTTGTGGCGCGGATATGAGGGAGAAATGACAGCTCAGGGTTGAACAGAACCCGAGGTTCCTGATGGCTTTGAGAGGTGGAGAGTGCAGCCTTGGATGCTGATAGTGTCAGCGCCTGAGGTGCGGAGGCGCTGACGTGAGCCAATCAGGAGGGCCTCAGTTTTGCGCACGTTGAGCTGAAGAAAGTTGTCTCTCGTCCAGGACTCGATGTCGGACAGGCAGCTGTCAGGACATCGGGGGTCGTGGAGTTGAGGGTAGAGGAGGAAAGGTAGAGTTGGGTGTCATCCGCATAAATGTGGAAGTTAACCCCATGTCTGCGGATGATGTCACCACAGGGTGAGGAGGAGGGGACAGAGGACCAGAGGACAGAGCCCTGAGGGACACCGCACAAGACAGTGCGGGGGGTGGAGGAAAAGCCATTCATGGAAACAAAGTGAAGACGGTGGGAGAGGTACGACCTGAACCACTCAAGGACAGGGCCTTGAAGGTTGAGGTGGGAGGACAAGCGGTGGAGGAGGATAGCGTGGTCGACCGTATCGAATGCTGCCGATAGGTCGAGGAGGATGAGGAGGCAGAGGGAGCCCTGGTCACAGATGGTCAGGATGTCATTGGTGACCTTGACCAGGGCAGTTTCTGTGCTATGGGCAGCACGGAAACCCGACTGAAGGGGTTCGAATAATGAATGGGTGGAGAGGAAAGAGCGCAGCTGGGAGGCGACAACTCGTTCCAGGACCTTGGACAGGAAGGGGAGGTTGGAGATGGGCCGGTAGCTTGATAGCTGCGACGCATCAAGGGAGGGTTTTTTCAAGGTGGGAGTGATGGTGGCAGTTTTTAAGGGAATGGGAACAGAGCCAGAGCAGAGGGACAGGTTGACGATGTCTGTGATATGTGGGGCAAGGAGGTGGAGCTGGGAGATAAGGAGTGGAATGGGGATAATATAAGCGGCTTAATATAAGCCACATTTCCCCCAAGCAAACTTATTTCCTTGTAATATGCTCTTCCAGTTATCTCTGAATCAGGAAGGCGTGAGCCAGAATGTGCGATTGCAGGAATATTACTCATCCGCAGCTCTGGGTGGGTCACTAAAGATTGTATCAACGTAAGCAGAACCCAGTGAATTCCAAAAGGAATGAAAAGCTCAGGACTCTTCAAATGTCAACGCATTTAGAAAGGCTGGAATAAAGCTGAGCTGTGTTGCCAAGCAGGTTGATTTCCTACCTGCGCGAGCCTTGCTGAAGCTGACCTCTGCTCT